CACCGCCCCGCCGGTCTCGCGCCCCTCGGCGCCGCCCGCTCCTCCTCCTCGCTGGCAGAAGCCAGGCCTCGTACACCCGCCGACCCCGCCCCATTCCCAGAAATTACCACCCGCCCAACGGCCGGGCCGCGCGGCGGTTGGTGCCCGCGTTTGCTGAGTGTCGGGCGGCGGGGCTCAGCGCGCAGCTGCGGAGCGCGGCGGGCGGCCCCTTGGCGCTGCCCCCGGAGCTGCGGGCGCCCGCACCGAGCCATTGTCGTTCGTCGCTCGGTCAGCAACGGAGAAGTAACTCAAAGTCCGAGTATTGTTGGCGTGAGAATTGCGGGAGTGTATTGGTGCGGGAGCATTTTGGTCCAAGTGCCTACGAATTCGAAAATGAAAACCCAGCAGTTGCTGCGCGCTTCTGGTTTCCCACTTTCACACAAAGGGGAACCTCTGAGCAGGGCACTCACGCGCCTTCAAGTGCACAAAAGCCAATGACACGGTGCCCTGGGTTGTCCTGCTTTTGGAGCGCCTCATTAATGATCTTTCTTACGCACAGTTATGCATACAAACGCCTCAGTCTATTCCCCCCCACCACACTTCGCCGCCGCCGCGTTTTCTCGTATTTGTTTCTTTAACAAAGAGCAGTGGCTGTCCCGGTGTGCGTGGGGACTGATTCCGCCCCCCTCTCGGGCTCCTGCAGCCGCACTCCGATGGCCCCGGCGCTGTGTGCACCAGGTTCTTTTCTGGGCTCCAGCCTTCCTCTTTTTGCGGCTTGAGCGAAGTCCTGAGCGAAGAAGAAACCCGGAGGAACAGAAGTGGTAGTTCTTGAAAGTAACGTGGGAACCATGGAAATAACCCTAGACTAGGGCTCAAATGTCAGTCAACCACAGGAGGCCCCGCTGATTTAAGTTTCTGAAGAACCTAAGAATTTAGTGATCTTCTCTTTCTCTTTTTAAAACTCTTAATGCCTCTTCATTTACTGGGGGGGTAATTCTTCCTTTCCCATCTTAAAAAGCAACTCCGGAGACTCCTTTTCCTAAAAGATTTTTACTTTTAAACATAGGGGAATCCTGGATAGCAAATAGGGTTAGTCAAAGAGGTCCCATTAACTCTGATGAAATTTTATGGATTCCTGAGTTCTAAAATATGGTGACTCTTGGTACCCTTTTGAACTAAAGGATTTATAACGCTTTATAACATTCAAACCTTTAATACACAATAAACAGGATAATACAAACAGCACCCTTTCTAGGGCAGTATTTCTAATCTATTTCCTGTAAAATAACCTATCATTTATGGGAACGATTGTCCACTTTGATATTTGTATAGAATTAATAATCATTACTACTGCATCTCCATGACAATAACATGGCATATTAAGGAGTATGCAAGGACAAAGCCTCAATTCTATAGTTAGGAACAGATCTCACCTGCTGGGTCAAATCATTCCTGTTTTCAGCTACCATGAGAAGAAATATATCTCCCCTACTGCCAATTGGAAGTAAGCTGGAAAGTTCCAGGTGGATAACAGTGGTAAATAACATTATTGTTCTTAATTCTTCACTGCTCCGTGCATGCATGCCTTTCAAAATGTGGCTTTGGTGTTCCTCTCACTAGTGTGTTCCTCCACTCCACTGATGTCAGGATTAGATCATTCCACTTGCTTTTGGCCGAAGGAATATGGGCAGAAGTGACAGTGTGACAGTTCTGAACCTGACCTTAGGAAGTATTGCATGTGTCTGCTTGCCTCTATCACATGCCTACATTTCTCAAGGTGAAGAACATGCTTGGCTAGTCTGCTGGTATAAGAAGAATGAGAGACATGAAGCAGGTGTAGAACCATCCCCAGCCTGGAGCCAGTGACCTATACACAAAAAGGACTGTTGTTTTAAGCACTGTGTTTTAGGGTGGTTTGCTACCCACAACTAGTGTTGCAATCATTGACTGGTACAATAGGAGATGGAGCAATCTGCTCTCTTGGTATTGGCCTTGAAGGTGCCAAACTTGATGTCTCTAAGGCAGCTCTTTGATAATGGGTCTTGGAAAGGACACATCCCTTGCGGAAGCTGGCCAAGTAAGAAACCCAGAAAGTTTGTAGCAAAGCATCTAAAGACCTCAGGTTCAGCAGGAAAGGGCTGATGTGGCCCGTAGTCCTAGAAACATGCTAATGATCATAAAATACGAGATCTTTATGTTGTAAGTAGATTGCTTTTGCTTCCATTTTTTAATATTCCACAATTTATTTTTGAATTATACAAGTGGTTCATTAATACATTCTCATCATCAATTTTCAAATAATACAAAATAAACTTTTTAAAAAGCCAAATCTCCTTTCCATCTCTGTTTCTCTTTCCATTTCTCACCCTCCACAGACCCAGTTATCCTATCCCTCTACCCTTCCACAGGTAAACATAAATGATAGTTTAGCATTTAAGCTTCCAGACTTTTTGTGTGTGTGTGTGTGTGTGTGTGTTTGAGGAGATCAGCCCTGTGCTACCATCTGCCAGTCCTCCTCTTTTTTTGCTGAGGAAGACTGGCCCTGGGCTAATATCCGTGCCCATCTTCCTCTACTTTATATGGGATGCCGCCACAGCATGGCTTGCCAAGCAGTGCATCGGTGCGGGCCTGGGATCCAAACCCATGGACCCCGGGCCACTGCAGCGGAGCGCGCGCACTTAACCGCTACGCCACTGGGCCAGCCCCAAGCTTCCAGACTTTTTTATGTGCATTTAGATACATATACACGAATTTATATAGATTAAATATAAATGAAATTGTATAATATGTGTATTAGGTAGAATGCTTTTGTACTGCTTTTCTCTGTTTATTTCTCCTTTGTTCTCTCTAATTATCCAAGAAAGTCTTTTTTAAATTTCAGTCTGTCTTTAGTATGATAGACTAACCAAGGGAAAAAGTTTTCCTGCTTTTATATTAGAATGTTAAATGAGAGAAGGACCCTTTAGGGCCCAGTGTAGGGGTGGGACTGATAATCAACGTGAGAAACACAGGAGAAGACTAAATTCTCCGATGGTAGCCAGTGAATCATTTGCCCCTCCCAAACTGGAAATTCTCTTTCTTGGGCTAATTCTTGGGCACTTTGAGATATAGTTGATTAAATAAGGCTATATTTTCCCTTATAATGTTTCAAAGTGAGTAGTCCAAGAGAATAAGGGGATGGTGTGCTACCTTTTCCGACCTAGCCTCAGGAGTCACACCCCATCACTTATGCCATATTCTGTTGGTCGTACAAATCAGTGTCCTAATTCAGTGTGGGAGGGCACTATACAAGGACATGAATCCTAGGAGATGAGGCTGACTGGGGGACCATATTGGAAGCTGGCTACCACAAGGGCATTCCACAGTAGTGAATTTTGAGGGACTGACACAATCTTTAAATTTGTTGGATTCCCTCATTGCAGATGGGCAAATCCCCAGGTTACCAACAACTCTGTAAACTTTACAAGAACAGCCAGAAAAATCTCTTCCTTTGCCTCTCCTTAAAGAATAAATGATTCTGGGCAACTGTCCAGTTGTATTCTGGTGTTAACCCACCTCATTTGTGAGCTACCATATCTATCCCTCCCTCTGCCACTTTCTGGGCTTCTCCAAAGATGATGATTTATAACTCTCCCATACTCTGGGTCTGCAAAGGAACCCAGTCCCCAAAATCACTTTTTGTGTTAGGTATCATCTTGCCTTTCATGAATCAAAATCTCTTAAATATTGTATATTAAACAAGTTATAGGGCCGGCCCCGTGGCTTAGTGGTTAAGTGCCTGTGCTCCGCTGCTGGCGGCCCGGGTTCGGATCCCGGGTGTGCACCGACGCACCGCTTCTCCAGCCATGCTGAGGCCGCGTCCCACATACAGCAACTAGAAGGATGTGCAGCTATGACATACAACTATCTA